TCAGGGCCAGTCTTCCTCAGCTAAAAGAGGAGGATTGGCAGCAGTTAGCTCAGGGCTAATCTTCCTCAAAAAAAAAGTTTAAAAATAAATAAGTAAATAAGAAGGTAACAGATTGGGGGACTTGAGTGTTACCCTCTGAAAGGATGTTTTTCTGGGTATATGCTGTCCATACTGATGAAGAAAAGTATTTTAATGTATGAGAAGAAAATAATTAAAAGTGTAGGTTCTATTTATTTCACAATCATTTCTTTCATGGTTGGAAGTGGAGAAGACATCCAAATAAAAAGGAATATGATTGTAAAAAAATTATTATTACTTGGTCCAAAACGTCAGCAGTGTTGAGATTTATATAATCTGCTCTAATGTTTCTAAGGCACCCTGTTGTGGATGATCTGACCTAGAGAGCGAGTGTAGATAAAGAAGAGAGGAGGATTTAGACCTGTGGTTCTCCAACATACTGAAGTGAGATTCCTAAGAAAGACATAGGAGGAATGGTCAGTGAGGTGTAAGAAAGTGTAGAAATGAATGAAAGAAACCTTAAGTAAATTGGACTTGGGAAGGCCTGTAAGGGGTGCTCTCAGCCCATCACCCATCCTCAATTACACCAGACAGGAAGTACAACTACTTTACTATGAAGGAAGATTTTCCTCCAGACCTGGCAACAGCCCAGCCAATGAGAAATGCTGCAGACCAACCAATCAGAAATGCTACAGCCCAGCCAATGAGAAACGCCACAGCTCAGCCAATGAGAAACACCACAGCTCAGCCAATGAGAAACAATGCAGCCCAGCCAATGAGAAACAGCACAGCTCAGCCAATGAGAAACACCCCAGCTCAGCCAATGAGAAACAATGCAGCCCGGCCAATGAGAAACAGCACAGCTCAGCCAGTGAGAAGCCATTGCCATCCTGAACTGTTCTTTCCCCCAGTGGACTTTCCTTTAGAATAGCTCCTCCCTACTCTCCTTTTTTCTCTATAAATGCAGCTCCCCATTTTCCTTTGGTGGATTTGCCTATGGTTCGCAGGAGCGTGCATATTCTTAATTGCAATTCTTTTGGCTATTCCTGAATAAACTCATTTTCAAATAAAATAACAGGCAAATCTGCTTTTTAAGTTTGACAAACACCACAGATGATATTACAGAAAACAGAACAGTATTTCAAGGTGGGAGGGAAGCGATTAATAATAATAATGATACTAATACTTATGGTTCCAGAATATTTTCCAAACACTATACTTCAATTAATTCATTTAAAATGAACAATAACCCCATGAAGCAGTTGTTGTTCCCATATTATATATGACAAAACTCAGGCATAGGTCTTCAATGTCAAAAGCTGCTAAAAAGGGGCTGGTCCGGTGGCAGACTGGTTAAGTTCGCATGCTGTGCTTTGGTGGCCCAGGGTTTTACTGGGCCCTGCTCGCCGTGATCTGAGCCAACTAATCACAGAGTTAGAGATCTAGAAAGGAAGCTTTTATTTGATTAGGCAGCATAACTGGAAGCTGGCAAACTAACGTCTCAAAAAAACATCTTCTATGGGGCTGGCCCCACGGCCGAGTGGTTAAGTTCATGCGCTCTGCTTTGGCGGCCAAGGGTTTCTCCAGTTTGAATCCTGGGCGCGGACATGGCACCACTCATCAAGCCATGCTGGGGCAAAGTCCCACATGCCACAACTGGAAGGACCCACAACTAAACCTGCACAGCTGTGTACTGGGGGGCTTTGGGGAGAAAAAGGAAAAACAAAAATCTTTAAAAAAAAAAAACCGTCTTCTAGAATTACAGAATCTTGAGGCAGTTATATAGGGAAAATGGGCAGTAGGGAGGTGGTTTAGAGATGTTGACCTTCAGGCACCATGGACTCCAGGGTCCCTCATTGTTCTTTTCTTCCCTCAGTGATGATGCACATCCTACAGGTGTTCCTTTTTCCTGGTGGCCTTGTTGTTCCTTGGGAAAATTTGTTAACATTGTTAAGAACAAAACTACCAGAGTACCTCAGCAGGGGTAGGTGAAAATCATGAAAACATGTAGCAATTTATAATAATTACATGCTAGAAGGGTTTTAATTAGGAAAGGGTCATTTAGCGTGACAAGATGTCCTCACTTATGTTTACTTTATTACAGGAGGAGAGAGGGGGGTGAAAAAGAGGGAGAGAGGGTGTTTATGTTGGCATGAGCTTTTTGGAGCTGGGATTTTTGTCTAAGGAGAGAGGGGAAATAGGCTCCAAGTTGCAAGGGATCATGGTGAATGTCATGTAACCCATCTTCAAGTCCAGTGACACACGGGCTATAGGAAAAAAACACACTGACTTCTAGGAAGAGCTGCAGGGGAAGCAGTCTTCAGAGGAAAACCATGTTCCAGTTAAAGCAGGAAGGTAAAGCGATGTTCAGAGAAAAAATTAAGGATGGAGGATTTTGCTGATGACAGCCTGACTTTCCAAGCACTCAGTAGAAGGCTTTGGAGCAACTGAAAGGGGTGGGCAAAATTGGGTGAGATGGAGGTATTTACAGAGTCTATGGGGGTTAGAGTGTGGGAGATTACAATTTGGGTGGTACTGAGGTAAATAGGGATTAGTCCTGATGATATGTTCTTTTTTTTTTTTGTTGGATAGCTTAAGATTTTTTAAGGTTTAATTTAAATACAGTAACATTGACCCTTTTGGTACACAATTCTACTGAGTTTTGATAAATACACACAATTGTATATCTATGACTATAATCAAGATATAACTCCATCATTCCAAAAATTTCCCTGGGTCCCTATGTGGTCAACTCCTCCTACCTCCCAGCTCCTGGCAGTCACTAATTTGTGTTTCTGCAGCTTCAGTTTACCGAGTAAAACCATGTTCCAGTTAGAATGTTATATATACAACATGTAGCCTTTTGAGTTATTGCTTTTATCAATAGTTTATTTGTTATATCTTTTTAGAACAAAGAACATAAACACACCCAGGATATATTTTCATCAAAGTTTCAAAGAGATATTTAGTTGCAAATTAGCAGGTCAACACTGTCCCTGATGTCTGGAAAGGGACTAATCCAGGTGTTACCAATAGAGCATAGGAGGGGAAGTATGAATTCTTAAGAAAGCACATTCATTCTTTACTTTAATGGATAAGCAGATGTATGTTTATGTACAGTGTATGTTTGATAGACCATAAGACATCCTTTTTTTTTTCCCCTCTTTTTGGTGAGGAAGATTGTCCCTGAGCTAGTCTTTCTCTGTTTTATGTGGGATGCTGCCACAGCATGGCTTGATGAGCAGTGCTAGGTCTGAGCCCAGGATCTGAACCTGTGAACGCTGGGCTGCCAAAGCAGAGCACATGAACTTAACCACTGAGCCACCAAAGTCAGGCTTTTTAGTTTGAGCTGAATCAATTTTTTTTTTTTGAGGAAGATTAGCCCTGAGCTAACTGCTGCCAATCCTCCTCTTTATGCTGGGGAAGACTGGCCCTGAGCTAACATCCGTGCCCATCTTCCTCTACTTTATATGATGCGCCACCGGGCCGGCCCCCAAAGCTGAATCAGTTTTGAACCCGAATAGTTACCCTATATACCTCACTATGTGAAAATCATTTGTCAGTATATTCTATTATATGAATGTACCATTGTTTATCTATTCACGAGTTGGACATTTGGATTGTTTACAGTTTTTGTTGATTACAAATAAAGCCCCTATAAACATTTGCATAAAGGTTTTGTGTGAATACAAGTTTTCATTTTGATACCAAACCTCTTAATCTCAAATTCCTGCACCAGGTGCAATAATCCAATCCCTGAGACATTGGTGCTTGGAGAGGTAGAAAGTTTCATTTAAATTGGCCAAAATGAGAAGGTGGGAGTATAGGTTGTCTCAAACCCACCTTAACAAAGAAAAAAGCAGGGAGTCTTCATAGAGCTAAGAAGCTTGGGAGGAGGAGTTTCTGAGAAATAAAGGGGACCCTTTGGCAGTCTGAATTCTGGGCATCCACTGTAGCTGGGGGCTGGTTTTCTGGTGATTGTAACTTCCTTGAAGACATTCTTTTTCTTCTGCAAAACAAATTCATCAATCCTTGTGACCCTTGAGTCACCCCTCAGGTTACACAAGAAAAGAGTAAATTAACAAGATTAACTTCTTTTCATCTGTGTGGGTGGGTAATCAGGGTCGAAGGGTAATCAGATTCCTAGTGAATATTTACAGTAACTCTCAGGTATCCCTCTTCAATTTCACTTGGATAAATAGGAGGGGATTGCTGTTCTAAAGTAAGCATATGATTATCTTCATGAGAAACTGCTGAACTGTTTTGCAGAGTGACTGTGAATTCCTTTCTGTGTGACACTCATTGAAGACTTACCATGTGCCAGAAGCAGTACTGGGCAGGAGTGAGTCGTTTGGTACACACTGTATGGCTTGCAAATCTTAAAATATTTGCAATCTGGCTTTACAGAAAACTCTGTTGACCCTTGTCATAGAGCATGGTCCACAGGAATTCATGGACTGGTTCTACGACCTGCAGGAACAATTTCATGCAGTCCTTTTCTGAGGTCAATAATCAACGGCGCAATTATTTTATAGAATTGGATTGTTTCATTAGGAAATACAATAAAAACTTTGCTCTTGAAATGGGCAGAAATAACGTGTTTTTGGAAACACCTTGTTATTCAGTGCCGTGTATAAAATCTGCAAGTTGTGATTATCCCGGAGTTGTTGAAAATTGAGCTAGATAGTTAAAAGAACATGGATGTTCCCGAGTCATTGTATTTTCACACTGCTACGCACATCACATAACTTTTCCCATAAGTGCAACCACCAGTGTCTGTCACACACGGGTCGGGAAACCGCATTTCTCGGAGCCCACGAGAGGGCTTGGAACCGTAAGGCTCGTAATGTAGTGCGCCTGCGCGCGCTCGCGAAGGCGCCGTTGCCGCCAAGAATGCGCAGGCGCGTTGGTGCCGGCGCCGGCCTGCGCCGAGGGGCGGGGCTCGCGGTCGGCGTCTCTTCTGACTACGGCTTGGGGCAGCGCCATTTTGAACATGCGGCTGCCGCAGGAGTGAGTCTCCGCAGGCAGGGCTGCTGGCTGGGCGACCTCACCGTTTCCCTCTTTCTCCTCCCTCTTTCCGTCCGCAGAGGGCACCCAGGGACACAGCTGTAGCTCTGGACTGCGTCCGCAGTGAACTCACGGCCATGATGCTAAGAGGAAACCTGAAGCAAGTGCGCATTGAGAAAAACCCGGCCCGCCTTCGCGCTCTCGAGTCGGCGGCGGGGGAGAACGAGCCGGCCGCCGCCATGGCGCTCGCGCTGTCCGGGGAGCCGGCGCCGCCCGCGCCCCCGGAGGACCACGCGGACGAGGAGGTGGGCTTCACCATCGACATCAAGAGCTTCCTCAAGCCGGGCGAGAAGACGTACACGCAGCGCTGCCGCCTCTTCGTGGGAAACCTGCCCACGGACATCACCGAGGAGGACTTCAAGCGGCTCTTCGAGCGCTACGGCGAGCCCAGCGAAGTCTTCATCAACCGCGACCGCGGCTTCGGCTTCATCCGTCTGGTGAGTGTCCCCGGCCGCCGGCCGCGCTCCGCCGCGGCGCCCGAGCATCTTCCAGGCCGCCCTGGGCTCCACCGGGCGTGCCCTGCAGGGGCGGGGGCCCGAGCCGCGGGCCGCCGGAAGCGGGGCGTGAAGGACCGGCCGGCGGGCTCGGTCCGGGGACGTTGTCCCGGTCATCTCAGTGGCCTCCCGCGGGCGCGCGCGGCCGGCGGGGAGCCCGGCGTCTCTCCCCTCCCCGCAGCCCGCCGTCCCCGCCCCGCAGTCCTGGGCGGGGGTGGAAGGGGGGCGTCCGAGGTGATGTGCGGCGTCCCCCCGCCCAGCATTCTGGAGGGCTTCACGTTTTGGGGGGAAGGATGAATTATATACTATTTTGTATTTTAATTATGCACTTTAACACTAGGATAGTAGATGTTTTGCCCCTTTTTAATCTAAATCTTAAAAAGTTTTCCAATAACGTGCAAAAATTGTGCCTCGTATTTTTAAGAAAATTTGAACGGTGAGTGTGGACACAAGACGAGATAGCTACCTTATTAGGCTTTGCTTTGTGCTTTATGGTGAATTCCGTCAGTGTCAAGTTATACAGCGTAGTTGTAATTTATACTTAGGTGCTGGATTTTTTCCCAACAAAATGCCTTGCTTAGAGAGATATTTACACAGATAAATGACGTCTGTGTGTGTTGTCTTTCTAGTTTGACCCTCAAATTTTATGTTCATTGAGGTTGTGGAAGCTTTCTTATTGAAACTTTAACTTTCAAAATCGAGTTCTCTCCGCTGAGTGGACGAGGCAAAATTTTAATATGTAGAGAAAATTGATTGTAATAAAACGACACTATTTTTTAGGGAAAACATGTGAACATCTAAATGACGTCAACAGAAAGGTAAATCTTCATGGGGTATTAATGAGACATGGAAGTTTCCTTAAAATTCAAGTTAAATAATTGGTACATTTTGAACATAAAATTATAAATACATTTAATTATGTTTTGGACGTTAGAGAAACAGCCTGTCACTTGGTAAAATTATTTTTAGTATAAATCCAGAAGTTACCTTAAACAAAGTTAGGTTTCTACGATAAAGTATTATAAGCAACTTTTAGTAAGCTTTCCAAGTGGATGTTATTTAACATTTTCATGATCTTTAGCTTCTGGCACCATGCTGCTTTATTCTGAAGGTGACAGTCTGGAGGAAGAGTGGAAGGCGGCTGCTTTTCCCTCTGTTTTGGATGCCTTACACTTAAACAAAGCGAATAAGCATTTTATTGACATGGAAACGTCTTTTTCTTTCCTGTCTTTGAAGCTGCTGAGACTCTCTCCTCCTCGAGTGTGTTAGCGCCGTCCAGTAGAACTTTCTGAAATGATGGAATGGCTGTGTATCTGTGCTGTGCAATATAATATCCACTAGCCAGATGTGACTCTTGAGCACTTGAAATGTGGCTATTGTGGCCGAGGAGTTGAATTTTAAATTTTACTTATTGTTAATTTAAATTTAAGTAACCACGTGTGGCTACTATGCTGGACAGCACAACTCGTTGCTTTTCCTTTCTTTTGAAGAAGATCTCTGGGGTTATGAAATGTGGAGGTGAGAAGGGCTGCTGTTGTCTGCTCTTTTGGAATATGCTCCTCCAAACCTATCACTCTAAATTTTTATGTGGGAAAGTTAAAAATTTGTCATTCAGAAAGTAGAATTTGGAGGGGGGGAGGAAAGTAGAATTTAGTTTACAAAAGTTGACTTTGTGTATAACTGTTTAATCTGAGCTCTGTGGGTTAACAGGTAAATTTAAAAGCTTTAAATATTTCTGGGCTATTATTTTTTTTTCTACTTAAGAAAATCATACAGTGTATACCTGATCTGAATATAAGAAATGATATGGTGGTTGTAGTGTGTAGTGGTGGCGTAGTGGCTCTTAAATATTGGTGTAATTTTATCTGGTTTATGTTTCTAGAAATACTTTTTGCTTGTTCAGTAATTAATCTTTAAAATGCAAATAAATTTTCCTAGACTGGTGGTTGTAATTTTCCAGTTAATTGATGAGGTGAGACTACATTTTTGAGATGGTATAGGATCAGCATTGCTAGTATGTAATAGTGGGGAAAAGAATTTAAGAGGCTGTTCCTCCTAAAGTCCTAATTCTTATTGTGAGCCCATGGTACATTAGGGATCACTCTCTGTGCATTTTAGACACATTTTGTGGAATTTTAGACCCAAAAGCTTCTTTTTAGGTTTTGCCTGGTTACTGACAGTTTAGATTGGATAAATTAACTGAAAAGTTACAGTGCATTTTAAAGCTAGTTTAATGTAGTTAAAACTGGGGTTAGTTTGACCTGAACTCTTTTATCTTTTCCCCCTGCTTTTTGAACTTGGTTTCTACTTTTATCCTTCTTTTCCCTTCTTTTGGCTTTAGTAAACCAGGTTTCTGGAGCAGTGATTCACAAAAGTGTCATTCCTGTCCAACAGCTTCAGATCTCTCGCTAGAGTAAGGAGAAGGTCACTTAAATTATTATCCCCACCATTCATGCTAGCAGTGCTGACCCTACACCCATTTCAAAAAATGTCTCACCCTGTCAGTTAAGTGGGAATTTGTTAGAAATGCATATTGTAGGGCCCGACTCTAGATCTGCTGAATCAGAAATTTTGGAGTTGGGGCCCAGCAATCTTCTTGGGTTTTAAGCACCCTTCTCTTTTATATTCTGATGGTTTTTAAAATTTGAGAACCATTGTTCTAATTAAAGAATTAAAGTCAACTACATTTACTTTCATTTAGGATTAAACCCCATTCCCTCGTGCTTTTTATTTTTAATTATGAGATGATACATACTTCTTAAAGTATGATCAAATATTAATTAGAGAAGACATTGCAGAATGTACTTAGTGGGCCGGCCCATCCAGCATATAATTTCATGTCATCTTTTATTCCAGGGAAGTTCTCTTAATTACAGTTTTAACAGTAGTGAAAGATCTTCCTTCCCCTAATACAGTTACTAAACACGATCACTGCTAACCTTTGTGTAATTTTTCCATAAAAAAATCAAACCATACTATACATATTGTATTATGTTCTGAGTTTTCTTTCTTTTCTTTTTTTTTTGAGGAAGATTAGCCCTGAGCTAATTGCTGCCAATCCTCCTCTTTTTGCTGAGGAAGACTGGCCCTGAGCGAACATCCATGCCCACCTTCCTCTACTTTATATATGGGACGCCTACCACAGCATGGCGTGCCAAGTGGTGCCATGTCCTCACCTGGGATCCAAACCAGCGAACCCCAGGCCGCCAAAGCGGAACATGTGCATTTAACCACTGCGCCATCAGGCTGGCCCCTGAGTTTTCTATTTAATCTATCTTTGACATTATTTTATGTCTTTAGATTGATTTTCATGACCATATTTTATTTCACAGTGTGAATGTACTACGGGTTACTTAGGCAACTTTCAATTGATTGACTTGAATGCTATTTCCATTTTTTGTCAGTGGATTTCCTTGTACATATTAACTTAGTACTATTGCAGTGGGGAACTTTAACCACTGTAAACAGTGAGGGAAAAGATCATGTGCTTTGAAAAGGGTCCACTGGAAAGCATTAGACCCTAGTTCCAGCATTCTCTATCTTGGGATAGTTACTTAGTTTCTTTTTTGTATGTGTGTTCCTTTCAGTTAAGAATCTCCAGTTTTGCTTTTTATGTAGAGTGATTGCAGGGACACCAGGAGGATTTATGGTATATTGGTGGAGATTGTGAATTCTGTATAGATTTAAATTAGCGTTGGCAGTGATTATTGGGCAAGTTACTTAGACCTTTGTGGGCCTGTTTCCCCATATATGAAGTGGGGTTAGTAACAAAACCCACTTGATAAGATTGTTGATGAGGCTGATGAAAGATAATGCATGTATATAGTATAATACATATGCACATACGTATGCATATATATATTCTGTATATACATACAGAGTAATATATAGGATATATAGTATAATGAATGGCATATAGTAGCTAGGTAAAAGTTATCATTCTGAGGCATGAAGTAACGAAGTCTTTGATTTCATTTCAAATGCATAATTTTAATTGATTTTTACAGATACTTCAGTACACATTAAGAGCAGTGGTTCTCAAATGGGGTGGTTTTGCTTCCCAGGGGACATTTGACAATGTCTGAAGACAGTTTGGTAGTCAAAACTGAGGAGTAGTTCTCCTGGCATAAACATCCTACAATGCACAGCGCAGCCTGCTACGTCAAGAATTATCTTGCCCATAATGTCAGTAGTGCTGAGGTTGAGAAGCCCTGATGTAGAACCATTTAAAACAATGAAAAGTATACACTTTGAAAAGTGTTTATGGCATTGAAAATTCCTGACAGCATAAACATTTTATTTGGCCCAAAACGTATTAAAAGTTGAATTTGTTGCCAACAGTAAAAAATTACTTGCTTCTCCCAAAAAAACCAAAATCTGACATTGTGAATATGTCTGACTGAATCTGAACAGGCGATGCCTTCTAGAAGGACTTTTCATTTTTACACAGTCCTCACCAGGCTCTCTATCCCCCTGCCCACAAACATTTTATTATGAAAAATTTCAGACAGAGAGAAATGAACATCCATATACCCACCTCCTAGATTCTACAATTAAATTTTGCCGTTTATGTTTTTCACATATTTGTCTATCCATCAGTCCATGATTCTTAAACACTCCAGCATGCTTATCGTTAACTAGAGTGCAGTATTATTTTTTAAGGTATTTGAAATCTGCATACAGTGAAATGCATGAATTTTAAGTGTATAATTTGGTGATTTTAGGTAATTCCATCTGTTAAACTCATATCAAGATATGGAACATTATCATCACCCCATGAAATTTCCTCATCCCTTCTTGTTCCCAGTTATACCTGACAGCATTTTAACTCAAGACTGCATTCCTGAAATCTGTCTCAGAGTTGTTGGATTATATAGTGTATTAGGTACAAAGTACTTGTCCCTTGTTTTATTCAGTGTTTGCTCATACTACTGCTACCTTTAAGAGTAATAATTTGGCCATTTTAAATATCTGTAAAAAGGTTAGATTCCTTTGTCTTTGTAAAATTTGTTCTGTAGATAATTTTTGCGTAAGTGCAGTAATTTAAAGTTGTCATGAACCTTTTAGGGATTGAATAAAGAGCGGTTGTGACCTTAAGACTTTTTTCTTAAGACCATATGTTTGCACTCTTCTTAGAAATGCATGTAAAGCCTCTTTCAGTCTCCATGGAGAGTTCTCACAACACAAAAAGAGTATAGCTGTATTAAATTTACCAGTTTGTTTTTTATTGTTTTAGATGTCTGTATTGTATACCAACTTTGAATTCTTCAAGAAGGGAGTTCTCTTGTGGTCTCAGCAATGAACGTATTTTCTGGTTTACAATAAGTGCATGTGCATTTGCTTCTCTATATTAATGGAGAGAACTCTTGTAACCCACGGATGTGTCTGATGCCTCTCTCAATATAAGGGTGAGAAATGTATAGCCTATGAAGGCATCTCAGGATAAGTGGTTAACAACACCTGATAGTAGTGTTTACAGGTAATATAAAAGAGAAATGGAAATAAAAAGGAAAGGGGATTTGTCTGGCATTGGAGAGGTGGTATGTTTTATTGAGATATAAATAACAAAAACATGGAGTTTATAGAGAATTATTCTGTTTTCAGTAATAGTTTCTAGTAACTGGTATTTGGTCTCAAATAATTGTGTATTTTTATTAATATATATAGCAGATTTAAAAAAGGTATTACTTTGAAGGTTTCAGTGCTGGTAATTCGTTTATGAGCAGATAATCTTTAAGTGAAGTCTTGAAACAGGACATTGGGGTTGGGACTTTCTACTTAAAATGTTTAAAATGACGTATCTTTGAATAATTAATAAAGTACATGTTATACCAAAATTGGAAGACACAAAAACAAAGTGACCCTTTCAGTCATTTCCTAAAGCTACCCAGCTCTCCTCCCTAGAAACAAACCACTATTTTAAATTTTTCTCTTACTATAATCTTTAAAAAGTGAATTTTTCCTCCTAAAAAGGAATCCAGAACATTGGCTGAAATTGCAAAAGCAGAGTTGGATGGCACCATTTTGAAGAGCAGACCTCTCCGAATTCGTTTTGCTACACATGGAGCAGCCCTAACTGTCAAGAACCTTTCTCCAGTTGTTTCCAATGAGCTTCTAGAGCAAGCATTTTCCCAGTTTGGTCCAGTAGAGAAAGCCGTTGTGGTTGTGGATGATCGTGGTAGAGCTACAGGAAAAGGTTTTGTAGAATTTGCAGCAAAACCTCCTGCACGAAAGGCTCTGGAGAGATGTGGTGATGGGGCGTTCTTGCTAACAACGTAAGTTTCAAATGTCTTTCTTCTGTGCAGTTACATATGGGTTTCTCTCTGTTTTGGATGTCTGTCTTGTCTTGTAGTTTAGACTGTCTTGGCATATGGTAAGTAGGCATTGAGTAAATACTCAGTGTATATAAATAAATTTTTGTGTACCTCTAGGACTCAAAAGTCATACTTTCTTCAAACTTTAGTGTATTGATTCCTACTTGAATCTCAGGAATGTTTCATATTATGATTTTCATCCAACTTAACTGAATGTTGTATACAAAGCAAAATTTTATATTTAAATTAGAATGAATGATATTTTAATGAACTTTGAGATAATTTACAGACATTAAAATACACTGAATTTTAGTGTAGAGCTCAATGAGTTTTAACAAATGTATGTACTCATGTAACCTACCACCACAAGCAAGATATAAAACATTTCCATCATTCAACCAAAGTTCCTTTGTGCCCTTTTGCAGTTGTTCCCCACCCCTTACCCTTGTCCTAGACAGTTATTGATATTTCTGTTACTATAAATTAGTTTTGTCTTTTCTACTATTTTATATAAATGAAATCATATAGTGTGTTCTCTTTTGTTTCTGTTTTCTTTTTTTTTTTTTTTATTTATTTATTTTTTTTTATTAATGTTATGATAGATTACAACCTTGTGAGATTTCAGTTGTACATTTTTGTTAGTCATGTTGTGGGTACACCACTTCCCCCTCCGTACCCTCCCCCCACCCCCCCTTTTCCCTGGTAACCACCAATCAGATCTCCTTCTCAATATACTAATTTCCACCTATGAGTGGAGTCATATAGAGTTCGTCTTTCTCTGACTGACTTATTTCGCTTAACATAATACCCTCGAGGTCCATCCACATTGTTGTGAATGGGCCAATTTCGTCTTTTTTTATGGCTGAGTAGTATTCCATTGTGTATATATACCACATCTTCTTTATCCAATCATTAGTTTCTGGGCATGTAGGCTGGTTCCACGTCTTGGCTATTGTAAATAATGCTGCAATGAACATAGGGGTGCAACGGACTCTTGAGATATCTGATATCAGGTTCTTAGGATAGATACCCAGTAATGGGATGGCTGGGTCATAGGGTATTTCTATTTTTAACTTTTTGAGAAATCTCCATACTGTTTTCCATAGTGGCTGTCCCAGTTTGCATTCCCACCAACAGTGTATGAGGGTTCCTCTTTCTCCACAACCTCTCCAACATTTGTCGTTCTTGGTTTTGGATGTTTTTGCCAATCTAACGGGGGTAAGGTGATATCTTAGTGTAGTTTTGATTTGCATTTCCCTGATGATTAGCGATGATGAACATCTTTTCATGTGTCTATTGGCCATATTCATATCTTCTTTTGAGAAATGTCTGTTCATGTCCTCTGCCCATTTTTTGATCGGGTTGTTTGTTTTTTTGTTGTTAAGCAGTGTGAGTTCTTTGTATATTATGGAGATTAACCCTTTGTCGGATAAGTGGCTTGTAAATATTTTTTCCCAATTAGTGAGCTGTTTTTTTGTTTCAATTCTGTTTTCCCTTGCCTTGAAGAAGCTCTTTAGTCTGATGAAGTCCCATTTGTTTATTCTTTCTATTGTTTCCCTCAACTGAGGAGTTACAGTGTCCGAAAAGATTCTTTTGAAACTGATGTCAAAGAGTGTACTGCCTATATTCTCTTCCAAAAGACTTATTGTCTCAGGCCTAATCTTTAGGTCTTTGATCCATTTTGAGTTTATTTTGGTGTGTGGTGAAAAAGAATGGTCAATTTTCAATCTTTTGCATGTGGCTGTCCAGTTTTCCCAGCACCATTTGTTGAAGAGACTTTCTTTTCTCCATTGTAGGCCCTCTGCTCCTTTGTCGAAGATTAGCTGTCCATAGATGTGTGGTTTTATCTCTGGGCTTTCAATTCTGTTCCATTGATCTGTGGACCTGTTTTTGTACCAGTACCATGCTGTTTTGATCACTGTAGCTTTGTAGTATGTTTTGAAATCGGGGATTGTGATTCCGCCGGCTTTGTTTTTCTTGCTCAGGATTGCTTTAGCAATTCGCGGTCTTTTGTTGCCCCATATGAATTTTAGGATTGTTTGTTCAATTTCTGTGAAGAATGTTCTTGGGATTCTGATTGGGATAGCATTGAATCTGTATATTGCTTTAGGTAGTATGGACATTTTAACTATGTTTATTCTTCCAATCCATGTGCAAGGAATGTCTTTCCATCTCTTTATGTCATCGCCTATTTCTTTCAAGAAAGTCTTGTAGTTTTCATTGTATAGATCCTTCACTTCCTTGGTTAAGTTTATCCCAAGGTATTTTATTCTTTTCGTTGCGATTGTGAATGGGATAGAGTTCTTGAGTTCTTTTTCTGTTAGTTTATTGTTAGTGTATAGAAATGCTACTGATTTATGCACGTTAATTTTATACCCTGCTACTTTGCTGTAGTTGTTGATTATTTCTAATAGTTTTTCTGTGGATTCTTTGGGGTTTTCTATGTATAAGATCATGTCGTCTGCAAACAACGAGAGTTTTACTTCTTCGTTACCTATTTGGATTCCTTTTATTTCTTTTTCCTGCCGAATTGCTCTGGCCAGCACCTCCAGAACTATGTTGAATAGGAGTGGTGAAAGTGGGCACCCTTGTCTTGTTCCTGTCCTCAGAGGGATGGCTTTCAGCTTTTGTCCATTGAGTATGATGTTGGCTGTGGGTCTATCATATATGGCCTTTATTATGTTGAGGTACTTTCCTTCTATACCCATTTTACTGAGGGTTTTTATCATAAATGGGTGTTGGATCTTGTCGAATGCTTTCTCTGCATCTATTGAGATGATCATGTGGTTTTTGTTTTCATTTTGTTGATGTAGTGTATCACGTTGATTGACTTGCGGATGTTGAACCATCCCTGTGTCCCTGGTATAAATCCCACTTGATCATGGTGTATAATCTTTTTGATGTATTGCTGTAATCGGTTTGCCAAAATTTTGTTGAGGATTTTTGCATCTATGTTCATCAGTGATATCGGCCTGTAGTTCTCCTTCTTTGTGTTGTCCTTGTCAGGTTTGGGGATCAGAGTGATGTTGGCTTCATAGAATGTGTTAGGGAGTTCTCCATCTTTCTCAATTTTCTGGAACAGTTTGAGGAGAATAGGTATTAAGTCTTCTTTGAATGTTTGGTAGAATTCTCCAGAGAAGCCGTCTGGTCCTGGACTCTTGTTTTTGGGGAGGTTTTTGATTACCGTTTCTATTTCCTTACTTGTGATTGGTCTATTCAGATTCTCCATTTCTTCCTGATTCAGTTTGGGGAGATTGTAGGAGTCTAGGAATTTGTCCATTTCTTCCAGGTTGTTCAATTTGTTGGCATATAGTTTTTCATAGTATTCTCTTATGATCTCTTGTATTTCATTGGTATCTGTTGTGATTTCTCCTCTGTCATTCCTGATTTTATTAATTTGCGATTTCTCTCTTCTTTTCTTGGTGAGTCTGGCTAGGGGTTTGTCAATTTTGTTAATTCTTTCGAAGAACCAACTCTTTGTTTCATTGATCCTTTCTATTGTCTTTTTTGTTTCAATATCGTTTATTTCTGCTCTTATTTTTATTATTTCCCTCCTTCTACTGACTCTGGGCTTGTTTGTTCTTCTTTTTCTAGTTCTGTTAGGTGTCGTTTGAGGTTGCTTACGTGAGCTTTTTCTTGTTTAGTGAGGTGAGCCTGTATTGCGATGAATTTCCCTCTTAGGACTGCTTTTGCTGCATCCCAAATGATTTGGTATGTCGTGTTCTCATTTTCATTTGTCTCCAGATAATATTTGATTTCTTCTTTAATTTCTTCAATGATCCATTGTTTGTTGAGAAGCGTGTTGTTTAGTCTCCACATTTTTGCACCTTTCTCTGCTTTTTTCTTGTAGTTGATTTCTAGTTTAATAGCGTTATGATCAGAAAAGATGCTTGATATTATTTCAACTCTCTTGTATTTATTGATGTTTGCTTTGGTTCCCAAAATATGGTCAATCCTTGAGAATGTTCCATGTGCACTTGAGAAGAATGTGTAACCTGCTGTTTTTGGATGAAGTGTTCTATATATATCTATTAAGTCCATCTGGTCTAATTTTTCATTTAATTCTATTATTTCCTTGTTGATTTTCTGTCTGGATGTTCTGTCCATTGGTGTTAATGGTGTGTTGAGGTCCCCTACTATTATTGTATTGTTGTTGATGTCTTCTTTTAGTTCTATTAAGAGTTGCTTTACAAATTTTGGTGCTCCTGTGTTGGGTGCGTATATATTTATAAGTGTTATGTCTTCTTGGTGGAGAGTCCCTTTTATCATTATATACTGTCCCTCTTTGTCTTTCTTTATCTGTTTTGCTTTGAAATCTACCTTGTCTGATATTAGTATAGCGACACCTGCTTTCTTTTGTTCATTATTAGCTTGGAGTATTGTTCTCCATCCCTTCACTCTGAGTCTGTGTTTGTCTTTGGGGCTGAGGTGTGTTTCCTGGAGGCAGCATATTGTTGGATCTTGTTCTTTGATCCATCCTGCCACTCTGTGTCTTTTGATTGGGGAGTTCAATCCATTTACATTTAGAGTGATTATTGAGACGTGGGGCCTACCACTACCATTTTGTGTCTTGTTTTCCGGTTTTCTTCAGTTTCCTTTGTTTCTCGTCCCATGGTTTAATCTGTTCTGATGTAGAGCTGCTACTCTCTGTTGTTGTCCTTCTACTTATCTCCTCTGCTCTTGGTTTTGTAGCCCCTTTCCTTTTTTGGATTTTTCAGGAATGAGGGTTTTCCTGAGGATTTCCTGAAGAGGAGGTTTTGTGGCAATGAACTCCCTTAATTTTTGTTTATCTGGGAAAGTTTTTATTTCTCCATCGTATTTGAAGGATATTTTCGCTGGGTAGAGAATTCTCGGCTGTAGGTTTTTGTCCTTCAGATTTTTGAATATATCATTCCACTCTCTTCTAGCCTGTAAAGTTTCTGCTGAGAAATCTGCTGATAGCCTGATGGGGGTTCCTTTGT